ACATAATTTATTTATGTGTGATTAGGCCCTATGTTTTGAATGTGAATGGGCTTTCATAGATGCCCCCGTATAAAAAAAATTTAAATACCAATTCATCTTCAATTTTCAAACTTTAGAATTCAAGGTCATACTAAACAACCGTAGAGTTCAAGATCCATTTGAACTTAGGTGGGAGTTAATTGTAATATTTTCTTTTCAAATTAGAAAATTAAAAGAGAGTTAAAGAATTCAGAGCTTCCTATTAATTTTAACTTGAATTTAGAACATTGGAAGAGACCAATGGTAGGTATATTTTGAATTCACTCAGTAAAAAAACTAATATCTCCTTAAATATTATTCATCAGTTAATTGTAATATTTTCCATTCAAATTAAAAAATTGGAAGAGAGTTACAAAATTCAGCACGCTATCAATTTTAATTTACAAGACTAATGATGATTATATTTTGAATTCACTCGTAAAAAAAACTAATATCTCCATTAATATTCTTCACCTTAAAAGTAAATATTCCATATTTATCTTTCTTTTTTTTCCACCGTGAACCAACTTTGCTGCACGTTTTACAAATATATTACTTCACCAATTGAGAATTAATTTTTATAATATGAAAATTCATGTTTGTTAATACATGAGTTACTACATTAATATCAATAAAATTTTAATAAAAATAACATAAAATTAAATACATATCCATTATATTTATCATTATTATAAAAATACCTCCAAATTTCCGTTATTACACCTATATCCATTTTTTCAACTTCATAACTTTTTTTTAACATAGAACTACCTTGTTTTTTAAAAAACCTAAATATTTACAGTTTTAGGTTTTAGGTTTTTGAAAACCGAAATCGGAATTAATTTTGAATTTATTTCTCTCTATTTGTAGGCAAAATATCTTATGCTGCAGTGAGTCTTGCCCTTAAGATTTTTGAAAAACCGAAATTGGAATTAATTTTGAATTCATTTCTCTTTATTTTTCTAGGCAAAATATCTTAGGTAGCAGTGAGTCTTGCCCTAAACATAGAAGACGGACTCTGGTTTGCAATGAAGTCGGTGAGTCTTTCCTCAAAGACATACAAGAATGACTCTTGTTTGACTCATGTATTAACGAACATGAATTTTCATATTATAAAATTTAATTTTCAATTGGTGAAGTAATATATTTGTAAAACGTGTACCTTGAAGGTTCCCACAAATAAGAAAGAATGTTGAATTTGTTCATGGAGTATATGGAGGTGGAGACCGTGTCGAGAAAACCAAACTATTACTGGAAACTGCCATTAAAGCTTATACACCTCTATTCTGGGATGATGGGAGTTATGCAAAACCTTCACCATTCTTTTCTTCTTCATTGTGATGTTAAGTTCAATAGAAGTTTCACTGTGATGTTAAGAACAAGAATGTATTGTGAGTAAGTGAATCTCAACGGCAAGAATGTGGTATTGAAGTTCAAGAGAATGTTTCCTTGTGATGTTAAGGACATGAATGTGATATTGGGGTTCAAGAGAATGTTTCATTGTGATGTTAAAGGGCAACAATGTGCTATTATTAGTGTTGTGGATAAATGAAACTTGCCGATTTTCGCTATGCGAAAAGGTTTTGCTGAAAATAATGACACACTTGATTTTTCCGACGAGTTTCTTTATCTTGCCGCAGTACTTCGAAGATCCATTTGGATTTTTGGACGAGTTTGTTTATCTTTCCACAATTTTAAAGTAGATCGCATCTGAAATTTTGAAGAAAGAGAACAAGCCATTACCTTTCATATATGGCAATTGTGGAAACAACAGTAAAGTAAGCCGAAAAATTCACCGGATTTTCATGTTTCCGACCTGATTTTCTTGAGAAGTGTCTTACTCAACGGCTTTCGATGAAATTTGTACTCACGAGGGAGTTCAAAAAAGGCCAAATTAGAGGATTAAACTCTAGAGAATGAGATATACAAAGAAAAACGAGAACATGCCATTGCCTTTGATATAGGCAATCGTGGAGATGGCCATAACGAAGTTGGAAAATTCACCGGAATTTCATATTCCTGATTTTTTTTTACTGAAACCTTAGAAAATTTGAGATTTCTGAACGCAAATTAGAGGATTAAAATCTAGTGAACAAGAGATACAAAGATCGGAGTAGTGTGTGAGAAAAAAATGAAAGAGAAGCAGAAATTCAATTTTTGAAAAACCTATTTAAGTCCTATTTTGGTTTTTGAAAAATAAAAAATGGGTAGTTTCATTTTTTATTTTATTTTTATTTTTAAATGTTATGCAGTTGAAAAGCCAGTTATAGGTGTAATAAAAAAAACTTGAAGGTATTTTCACATCGTTAAATTGGTTTATTAATTATTTTTGCTTTAATATATACACCATATTTAATATTTTGAGTTTTTAAAAGTATTAAAAAATAACAAGCATTTCGCATTTTATTTAGTAGAAGATGCCCTTTCTATACCTTATTTATATGTGATTAAGTCACATGCTTTGAATGTGAATAGGCTTTTTATAGATGCCCGGCCAGGCCTTCCCGACCTTAATAGATGCGCTATATAAATGCTTTATTCCAAATATCCAGTATAACTGTTTTATTCCAAACACCGTTTTAACTTCAATTTTAACACTTTAGAGTTCAAGATCGTCCTCAAAAATATTGTAGAGTTAAAAGATCCATTTGAATTTGGATGAGAGTTAACTGCAATATTTTCTTTTTAAAATTAGAAATTTTGAATAAAGTTAAAAAATTCAAAGCTTCCTATTAATTTTAATCTTAAATTGGAACATTAATGGATTTAAATGAGAGTTAATTGTAATATTTTCTTTTTCAAATTAGAAAATTAGAATAAAGTTAAAGTTAAAGAATTCAAAGCTTCCCATTAATAACTTGAAACATTATCTTTTGCTTATCCAGACTCATGGCGAGCACTTCTCGAGCCCGTGACAATGATGGTAAAACAACTGCTTACTCATGGCGAGCACTTCTCGAGCCGATGGTGACAATCACGGTAAAACTACCCCTTTTATATAAGCTTTTTACCCTTTTATATAAACTTTTTCCTTTTAGAAATATTATTTATATTATAAACTTTTTTCCCTTTTACATAAACTTTTTCTTTTTAGAAGAATTATTTGTATTGCAACTACAAGGAGGGGTATACATCGTTTTCCTTATAAAGCATTATCATTATAATCAATAGATTAAATCCTTTGGATATCTTCACCGACTTTATATCATTATAGCATTCCATCAAGACTTTAGACCTCAAATTTATCCTGAACATACCTATTTCACTCAACATCCTCAAATCCAAACCATTGGATAGTATAATTCTAATCTCCTGAATTTTTGGATATTTCAACTCATTAGTTGGATCAGCAATTCATCCCCAATACAATTCTTTTGATATTATTTATATAAGACTTGGAAAATTAGTGATGCAAGAGTTAGAAGAGCAGTAAGAAATATTTTTACATTATTTATCGAAGACTTAGTTATACAAGAGTTAGAAGAGCAGTAAGAAATCTTTTTACATTATTTATCCAAGACTTAGGAAGATTTGTTAGAGAAGAGTTAGAAAAGCCGTAAGAAAGCAAAGCTTAGCCCAGCCATCCCAATTAGAAGACCGCCTTCTTAGAAAGCGGAAAACAAGAAAACAGGGTCTAAACAATCAAATTAGAACCCACCTCAAGAATTTCACTACCTAAGTTTTTTTTTACTCAAATATCCTCAAATTGATCTCCTCGACATCAAGATGCATGGATATGAGAAAAAAATAGATTTCAAGTTTTGAAAATAGTACATCTTTTAACCTATTTTTGGACCATCAATTTTCAACTTTTTCAAATTTTCTAGTATTGAAACCAATTTCTCGACACAATTTAAATGTGTCCTTAACTTTGATTGTTTAGAGCCTTAGCTCTATACAAACTGCACCCATTAATAAAATAAGAACATTTAATCTTCTTTCCATTTTTTTTACCCGTACAAATTACAAGGTCGATGCTTTTATCCGAACCCAAAAAAGTTGTGATTAATAAAATTGGAACACATTAACTCTTTTTTCCACTTTTTTTCATTTTACAAATTACAAAATACTTTTATCCAAACCCAAACTTTATATAAAGTTTACACCTTATACCGTATAATCAAAGTATCATCTCGACATCGACATCGATGTATGTGAATATAAAAAAAAATAAATTAATACCTAAAAATAATACTTCTTGCAATACATTCTCAAAACCTTCCATTTTCAGGCCTTTCATGCGTTTATAGATGCACTTTATTTAAACAATTTCTGAAGTTTAAAATTTATAATTAATGATAAAATAGATTCTCGAGCCATCATAAAATTTTACGACACCAAATTACATCTTATGACAGTTTGGATGTGCACCTTACTTCGATGGTTTAAGGTTGCAACCCCATGCAAACCATACCGTTTCATAAATCCCTCGTCCAAACCCAAAAATAATAATAATAATAATGGAAATGGGTTAGTATTGGTAGGAATGGACACCCTGGCCGATAGGATAAGGCTTAGATGGTACTACCACCTTGACCTCAACTCCAATCCTACATTTTAATTTTTCAAAGATCATAAATGACTTCTGGAGCTCCAAATTCATTGATCCGAGGCGGAAATGGTGACTTTCGGGTTCAAAACCCCTTTGAAACCCAGGGCAGATATATGACTAGGCAGGCTCACCAAAAACTTTTCAAAATGTTAATCCATCAAATTACCAGTTCCTGGCAACACCTAAAATACAAGATATACCAGTTGCTCACCAATGCATTGCACACAAACCCATATTTTGAAATAAAAAGGATAAATACTTAAAACTTTGCAATCAAATGGAAAAACAATTAAAAGAAATCAATCGTGAAAAACTCAATGCATGGGAAAAAGTACAATGATCCAGACCAAATCTGAAATTTATGGGGAAACTCCAACGAATGAAACAAAGTACAATGATCGAAACCAGAAATAATTCTGAAGACCAAATCTGAAAATTCAAAGATCTGTGTAACTTACCCTAAAAGAAAAGACTATAGCATTATTTTATCAACCCAAGGAACAAAGAGCTTTCTAGGTTAACGCATAATGCTCATAGGGTAACAAATTGAAGAAGAATTCCAGGTAAAGATGCCAAATCCCAGGAGTTATATATAGTTTTGGAGAACTGCATTTTACAAAGGAAAATTGTACCATCCCGTGCCCACTGGCTCACCAAATTTGACCAAGAATAAACTCAGATTATTGATTCAACGTACCCAAGTGAGAGAACAGCCCCACAATATCAGGCTCTAAGACCAGCTCCTACTTTAACAAGCTCCTCGAGTTTCTTGGTGATCTGGGTTTCTGTCAGCCCCTCCAACCGAACGCATCTCTCAACACCAAAATCTACAGCAAGAAATCAGAGGGACCAACTGTGTAAGAAACAAAAGGTTACACTAAAAAGAAGAAAAGAAAACTAAAGCATAATTTTCCCTCAGCAGTAAACTTCACTCAATGCATCAAAGGAAACTTTAACCATCCCAAAATGGCTGCAGAGAGAATGACCTTGCATCAAACAAAAATCCCACTTTCTTCAAAAAAAGAGATCGAATTTAAACATGATTTTCGTGCACCAATTTGTCTAGACTGTTAACAATAGTTTTTCTCTCATTTGTCATAGTCTAGCACACAGCATTGACTATTTGCAGCTAAAAGAAGAACTATTAATGGGATGGGATAACAGCTAAGTTCTTTAGTTTGGATTGGATGCTTAACCGCATGTCTTGAGACAATCAACGCACTGATGGTTGGTGGAAGAGGACGATTTCCTGATTTCAAAAAATAACATCAGGAAGTGGCATATTCACAAAATTTACTTAACCGTCAACCATTTTGACAAAGTCCGAAAAAATGTTCTCTACCATTTTGAATCAATCTGATTCCTTTGCAGTCTATTTTGGGTATGAAAAGTGGTCACTATTTGAATGAAATAAACGAAGAAACAACAGTGATACTCATACTTTCCTACTAGCCAGTCCACTTGCCAAATCTATCAGTGCCGACCCCATTGACAAGCAATGTGCAATAAATGAATATCTCTAATGTGCAGCAGTGTGGTGGTCGTAGGTGGGTGGCTGGTCTGTGAGTGCATTCTGAGGGATATGTGTTGGGTTCAGAAGATCAAATATCAGAAGTGCTATCCACTAACAGTCTTGGTCCTTTTTGTGAGTCAGACAACACAAGACATCAAATTTTCCAATAACACCATTTAGAGGAAGTTGCAAGATAACATAAATGAAGATTTCATTTGGTTTAGAAAAACAAAAAAGAAAAATCTCATATTCAAAATTTGGTGGGATACAGGGGCTGCTCTGAAACAAAATTATTTTAGCGCACAGCAACACATGATTTAGAAGGAACTTTGGAACTCAAATTCAGCTACTCCCAACTCAGAGAAAGACAATCTGGTTCCAGTTAATGGTAAGAAATTCAGTGAGAGGGGAATAAGAAACAGTCATCCCTCAAAAAAAAAAAGAAATAAAGAAGGAAACAGTCCTTCTAATACCCAGTGACAGGGAAAGGAGACTGATAACAGTGATGGGTTTTGGCTTGTTGATAAAGATTGCTGTGGCCTGCTTCACTTGTTGGTTACAGTTGGGCATTACTATGTAAAGAGGACTCTCTCTCTCTCTCTCTCTCTCTCTCTCTCTCTACTAC